TGGGTAAACTGGAAGAATACCTCGTGCAGAGCTATGCAACCTACTTCCTGTTTGCTGCTACTTAGAACATTACTCAGTAGTGTCCATGTGTCTCTACTGACCGTTTGCAGGCAGCCATCTAACGGGGTATGGGCCACCATGGACTGCATTCTCAGTGCAAGGCTGACCACCTGTTGAGCCTCAAACATGATTGATGGCTGCAGTGACCAGTGAGTATCCGGCTGTTCTGCTGTAGAGTTGCCAACTCTTCTGTTTTAGCCTAACTCTAGCACTACTGCAAATTGCTTGACAGAGACAGGTTTGACCAATACAGCTGTCCCTGTCTGGGGCATGCAAAGACAGCAGCAGCTGTATGTGTGATTCTGCCATCTACCGGTGCAGTCCTGAAAGGCCTTGCTGGAACAAGTGAACTGGTAACTATATTAATGAGTCTAGACTTCAGCCATTCAATAAACATGTGGCTTGTGTCACAAGGGCTGCAGTCAAATGGGCAGTTTGGCCTGATATAGTTGCATTATCCGAACGGATTAAATGGGCTCATTCACACATCCACATCTGGCAGCCATTCCCCAGTCGTACTCACCGTATGACGAGTTGGATACAGAGTAAATAGCCACCAGAGACAATCAGGTGCTTACAGATCCCCGTGCATATTGATCCCGTGTCTCCGGATGTCTGAACACCCCTGGTGTCTGCTCACACCAGTTTGGAAGTGTGAACCTTTAGTTCCAGTTTTGCCGTATTTTGTTTTAAAATGGTAGAGCATGTGTACATGTGTGCACATGCACACCCAAAAAATGTTCTCAAAAAAAGTCTCCATGGTTGATGTGCAGCACTAATCTGAAGGTCAACTATGGAAGAATCATGCAGTGAGGCCGGATCAGGGTAGGAGTCTGATTGAAAATCTCTGTCACAAAATGTGACAGAGTAATTAGTAGTGCGCCCAAACCGCACCAACCTGCCAGTCTGACCGCAGCCAAGGAATGGTTTTCACTCTCCTGCTCATTCCTAACCTTAGCTGTCTTCAGCATAGGACTCACATTGGCACGGGGCTGGGGCTGCCCACATGCCTTAAAATACAATTTCCACCTCCTGTCTCCTTTTATTGGACTTTATGTTCACCTTGATGAAGAGCACCGGGAAGCCTGAAAGCTTGCACTCACTATTTTGTGATATTTCTGGTCGGTCCATAATAAAAAGCATTACAGTACTGTTTTCAGATCCCCCCACCCACTCACCCACCCATGCATCAACTCAGCTATCTGCATTTCCCCCCTCATTCTTCATCTCTCATTCCATGCCAAAAGATCTCTGGGAATTTGTTAGGGGCATGGATTGTTTCCTTAATCTGATTTTGAAAATACATAGTCAACACTATGCTACCTATACTTTCTTAACAATATTTTGACTGTTCAGAGTGCCCACTGCATTGCTTGAAGTTGAATACTTTTTCAACCTCATAAATGCCCTTGCTAAATCCGTTTCCTATACTGGTGCTGGATTTGCCCACAAGGCTACTCTTGTTTTCCTGAGTCACTGGGCTCCATTTGCAGCATGCTTCTGCTGCGTCTTCACCATGTCCTACCTCCATAATCCTGTCATTGTGACATCAGAATTACAATTAGTTGTGACATCAGAATGAAAGGATTATTGTGGCTGATGGTAAAGAGGCAGTTATTGGGGGGGAAGGGGAGATGTGTTTCCCATGAAAATGTCCTTGCTGCCAGCATTTTCAATAGAGGCAGTAAAGAAACTATCAAAATTTCAGTAATGGTGACAAGATTGTATTTTCTGCTGGCTAATTTAAAGGGCACCATTTAAAGACTCCTCTTGCAGTGATAACTGCAGAGGCAGAATGAGTGGTTCAGTGAGACATTCACGGTGTCATTCAGCAATTTTCACTTTGTACTTCTGACTCTTCCTCAGGATTTGGCTGCTCCACACCTTGGTGACCCTGAGGGCTCAAGGAAGTGACAACAAAGAATCGTTCAGAGTTATGTGTTAAGATTTAATTGATTTCCTTGTAATTTGAGAAGTTTCAAGACTGAATTGTGAGACTTACTAATACCTCTCTCTCTCTCACACACACTCACACACATGAGAATTTTCATTTTCACACATGCTTTGTGGTTACTGAGAAAAACCTGAAAATGTGATTGGAACATGTACCCCAAAAGAAGACTCCTAACAAGGACAACAAAACACCAATGTTAAAACCTCACAAATTAGGCACTCAGGTCAAAATGCCATGGTGGCCTTAAACTTAGCGATTCTGAGAAAGATATCTGAATATTCAGATATATATGCCAAACCTAGAAAGTTGTGCTGGCACAGTGCTTGTGTACCTTTAAAACCCAACACAAGAGGTTAATCATTACCTTTCACGGCATCTGTGACAGCAAAAAGCAGCATCTGTTGAGTTTCTGCTAACTACGTAGTTTTTAGAGCGACAGCAACCCTCGAGGGTAAAAACCTTAATTAAAAAGACAGTTAAGTAGACCTACAGATTATATATATTCATAAAAAAATTAGGATTTAGAATCTTGATATTGCACTTTAAAATAATTAACATCGGAGAGATCGAGTTGCCTTTTCGGAGACTCGTCCCTGAACTTGGGAAGCCCCGCTCCCTGGTGCTTCCTGATTCTCACGCGTGATGAAATCTCTGGCTCTACGAAAGAGGAAGTGGAAAGCCTAGAAAGAAAGCGCAAGAAAACGGGGGGGAAATTCCTCTGCGGGCGGGCGCCTGCAACTCGAGAGGCGCCAGAAAGTGCTGGCTTTGCGGCGTGTCTGCGCGGCGGCTGCTCTAGTTCTCCAGTGTGCGCCCGGAGCCGCGAGCGGAGTGAGAGGAGGCGGCGCTGTGCATGCTGGGCTGAGATTATGGTGGGGCTTTGCAATAGGAAGCGAGGCAGGAAGGACTTGAACTAGCGTGTGGCGGCGGCAGGCAGACCCGCATAAGGCAGGAGACTGTGGGGTGCGCGCTTGGGGGGCTGGGAGCACGGAGTAGACCCCAGAGTCCTGTCGGCAGAAGCGGAACGGGTCTGCCGGGAAAGGCGCCAGTGCCGGGGGCGAAAGGTCTCTTGGAACCGATTTCGCCTCCCTCCTCTTCCCCTTTACGGATTTGACTGAGGAGGGGAAGGGGATTCCAACCCCCCCTTTTTTTTCTTTCCTTTTTGCAAGAAGAGCCTTGATTTCCCTCCCCTCCGTTTTGGGGAGCCGGCAAAGAAGAAGAAGAAGAAGAAGGAGCAGATCTCGCTGCCGTCGGCGGCAGCAGCAGCAGCCTCCGCCTCCCGCTTGCCCATTGCTGGGAGATGGTGACATATGAAGCGCGCTGGAAGGACCATGGTTGAGAGGAACAGCAAGCTCCTGCTGATCGTGGCGGGCTCGGTGTGCTTCATGCTCATCCTGTACCAGTATGTGGGGCCGGGGCTGAGCCTGGGCGCGCCGAGCGGCCGCTCGTACCAGGACGAGCTGGACCTCTTCCCCACGCCGGATCCGCACTACGTGAAGAAGTACTACTTCCCCGTGCGGGAGCTGGAGCGCCAGCTGGCCTTCGACATGAAGGGCGACGACGTGATCGTCTTCCTGCACATCCAGAAGACGGGCGGCACCACCTTCGGCCGCCACCTGGTGCAGAACGTGCGCCTCGAGGTGCCCTGCGACTGCCGGCCCGGCCAGAAGAAGTGCACCTGCTACCGGCCCAACCGCAGGGAGACCTGGCTCTTCTCGCGCTTCTCCACCGGCTGGAGTTGCGGGCTGCACGCCGACTGGACCGAGCTCACCAACTGCGTGCCCGGCGTGCTGGACAAGCGGGAGAGCGCCGCCGCCAAGCCGCCCAGGTGAGGCGACTGAGGAGGGGGAAGCCCGGCCAGGTGGCGTGGCCCCCTTCTCCCCCCCGAGAGCACCGCCTTCCCGAGGTAGCCAGTCGCCCCTCTCCGGAGGAGGGTCTCCTCGTGGCCCCTGGAGTTCGGCCTTGGCCACAGCCGGCCGCTTCCCCCTCGGCAGCCCGTTGGAGCCGGTTGGCACCACCGTCTTGAGGCATTCTGGGGCAGCAGCTCGGCTGTGGTGTGGTTCTGGTTCCTTCCTCTCTGGAAGCCAACTTCCCCTTCCTCCGCTGACGGCGCTGCTGCTCAACTCACTTCTGATAACTTTGTATTGGGGCAGAAAGTAAGAGTTGCGAGTTGGGTGCTCTGGGATGCTCAGTTGCCATATAGGTGGCCTGGTACGCCTTCAGTTAGCCTGTACTTCCTAGCAGCCCTGCTTAGGTTGGTGGATTTGTTGTTGTAGCAGTTTTCTCTCTTTCTAGGGTAGCCAAACCCACTGGGCTTCTGTGCTGCATTGCAGGCAGAGATTCAGCAGGGAAAGCTTCCTGGGAGAAAGGGGAGGACACTGCCTGTTGAATTTTTGTCTGCAGTGTAGCTGCAGCAGGAGCCTTGACAAAAAAAAAAGTGGCAGGCCTTATCTTTGCCCACTGGACTTCAGTGTATTTTACAATATCTCTCCTTACGTGGCAGTTTTATATTTCTGTTTCCATTGTTGCACTGTACCCTCCAAAGCTTGCCTTTCCCATAGGCCTTACTTGGATCCTGGGCCCACAACCTATTTTAAATACCAGAGCTGTGATATGCTATGGTTCATTTATTTATTTATTTAGATTTCCTGACTGGTTCTAAGGAAGGTGGTTATTGATTGTGTGCAGAGAACTGTTCCTTCAATTCTATTACCCCTACTTCACCACACAAATGATGGCACAAGGGGGTAAAGAGTAACAAGTCAGAACGCGTAGGTTTCCTGCAAACACGATCCTCCAAACTTTTCATTTAACAAATTAAGCACTGCTCCTCTTTCACCATGGTTTTCACACACTGGCACTTTCCCCTTCTCTGACTTTGGGATTTCTCTAACATGCTCTGCAGTATTTCCTCTGGACCACAGACCTTTCTTTTGCACTGCAGCCTACATCTCATGCTCCTGATCCTTCTGGCTCTGTAGGTACTCTTTATTTGTCTGCACACACTTCCCAAATGCAGGACACCTATATTGCACTGTTTGCCATTGTGATGATTCGTTCTCTCTCTTTCTGTGAAAAAAAATCATCACCCCCCTGTGCTAGGCACTTTGACTGTATTTATACTTTCCTGCCATGTTGGGCACTACCTTTGTAGACCCTATGGATGGTACCTCATTGCATTACTTGTAGTTGCTTGGCTCTCTTATCTAA